GGGGGGGGGGGGGGGGGGGGGAGGCTGTTTGACCAATCAATAATATGGCCTTACATCTAGTACATGCAAAATGAAATAACTGTACATAGTGGAAAACTTGGAAGTGGAAATACAAAAAATTTTCCGGAACTTCGAATTTAAAGGCATGCAACAAAGAGCAAGAGGTTTAACATGCGCATACATTGCGTTTATTTTCGGAACTTGTTCAAATATTCCACAATTATGAGACCAAAAATTTTGATTCTTACCAGGCTGCCTGAAAGAGGAAGGAGGACAAAAAAAACCACTCGTATAAAAAGTGACATGTTAATGATGGTAGTAAAAAAAGTAGCACATATTAAAGAATCAATCAATAGAAAAAGCATTGGAAAGACCAGGGATAAAATTGAGGGTTCCACCAGGAATTGAATCCCGGACCTGCAGAGTACTGATCGGTGCTGCTAACCACTACACCACAGTGTCTGGTAAGTGGAGGCACGCAAACAAACCTATCATATGCACACAGCCCACCAGACCCTGAAATTCAGAGGTTAATTTTACCCTTTTCCGGGGGGCATTGGCAAAAACGCTTAAAGACACGACTAATGGATTTTCATGAACTACAATTTGGCCAAACGCCGATCGATTTTGAAGAGGCATGAGTGTAAGGTCCCCTTGTAAGTCAAATTTTTGCGCAGTCTCGGAAAATTTCCAGAAAGCTAATGATAATAACTTGAACCTAATTCAAACTGTGAGCAGAATAGCATCTGTTTAACTTGAACAAGCGTTCTCTTTCAAGGAGGCTGTAGTTTGTTCATGTTTAGATGCCAAGTGCTTTTTAGCAAATGAGCACAAGTAGAACTAATTTTGCATCATGCGAAGAGCTCCTCATTTTTCAGTATTTTTTTGTCCTTTAGGTTTCCACCATGGGCAAAAAAGTGTGTCTATCAGGTTTCATGGGCATTGATTTACCGCCTAGAACTGGACCTTTGTGGATCCTTGGAGATGTGTTCATCGGAAAGTATTACACAGAATTTGACCTCGCCCAAAATCGTGTTGGATTTGCAGAAGCTGTATAGTTTTTGTTTATGATTCTAGTGTTCATTCCCTGTATCTCTCTTTCATGGAACAAAAGTCAGTTGCCTTAGTTTTTTTCAAAAGGTGTAGTTAGAATGTAGAAATTCATTATTTTTGGATTTTAACTATTAATTTAAGTTTTTCCAAGTCTTAATAGTCATTAATTAACACCACTGCTCAAATAAGATTGAAATGCCTCATAATTTTGAAAAATTTTACGTTTATGAAGAACTTTCAGTCCGCACCTTTGAATTATGGTCATTTCTCCAGTACGAGAAAATTTATCTGAAACTTTGCAATTTTTCAATCCTTAAATACTCATTGAAATTTCAATATTCTTTTTTTATTGATATTAAAAGATTTTCTGTTTTCCTACTTAAAATGTTTTCCAGTTACCTTTATTGTGAACAAAATGAAACTCGGGCAAAGTCTGTGGAATTGACCATTTGAAGTCTGATTTTTAAAATTTTTAAAATAATTGTAGCTGATTGTGATACGTTTTACAAGTCAAAAGTTCCCGATGATGATCAAAGATAAAATACTCAATAGAATGAGTTGTAATAATTTGCCGGTTGTAATTATAGTTTTGTGATTTGACATATTTTGTGCACTAATAAATTTTTCTAATTTATTTTGAATGAGGTCTCTGAGTATCTCCTTTTTTTATTTTTTAGGTTTTTGCAACATCCTAGTTACTCCTCAATGAACCTATAGCAAGAAAGTCCTTACCCCTCACACGTATGTTTGCCTCCCTTTTATTCCAGAAATAAAAATAAGTGATGGCTATCTTTACTTCCCTTTGTCTAACTGCCATAAGCAGTTACGTGATATGGACCACAATCTTTGCAGCCCCCCTCCCCCTTTCTACTGCCAGTAGTTTTTCACAAGACCTGGTTTACACACTCAAACATCAGTCAATCTTTAAGAAGCTAGTTCAACAAACGCGATTTGACTCTGCCAAAACCTGATGAAACGTCACAATTTAATGGACCATGGCGAAAAGTTCAACCGTCTGAGCTGGGCCTAATCAACATCATGATATAATGAAACCTGACTCAAATTCGTGTTGAGAAATCATTTAACTTCGGAATCTTTGGGCTAAACGAATAGTAAAAAACATAACTATAAAAATAGAAATAGGTATTTTACTGAGATGAAAGCACAAATATTTTTCATTCTTAAATTGACTTCCAAAAATGATGAAAAGAAAGAAGAAAAATCTGAAAATTTAAAAAATAGAAAATATTCATATGAAAGGAGATTTTCCCAAAAGAACAAAAGTGGTGTATGAAAAATAGGAGAAATATTTTCAGGTTAAATCGCACCTGCAGAAAAGCAATTACAAAAAATTATTCTGATTTGAAACAGAGGAGCTGTGATTTTGAACATGGTGGATTAGTTTCACTTATTTGATGAGATTATAAAGTTTATCAGCTCATGTTATGGATTTCATATTGACATTCGAATACATTACATCAGTCAATCTTCCAAGCAGGGGATAAAAAGAAAAGAGAAAGAATCAAAACAAAGCAAAACATGAAATTAAAGACAAAAGATATGGATATACTGGCAAGCTATTTGTAGAATTATTTTAACTACTACATGGGTTTAGAGAGAGAGAGAGAGAGAGGGGGGGGGGAGGGTTTGGTTTCAATATAAAATATGTAGGCTACTGACTACTCCAATTTTTCTTTCAGATGTGTAACTGCAGAGGATTTGAACTAGAAAAAGTAGAACTACTGATATCAGGAGGTTTGATACTTTTTCCTACTTCTGATACTCTATTTAAAGCCTCCTCCATCAGAAAACATTGCTTCTCAACATCGAGTTGAGCAAAATTTTGTCATTAACTTAATACAGAATTGCTCAAACTTAAGTGATGCTACTGGAAGGTAAACATTACCTACTAGCGAGTATCGATGAGGACACTCTGTCAGCTGACGCTTGCTGTAACTCCCAAATTAATTCATTCTACAATTAGCCTGCCAGTAGTAAACATACGTGAAAATGACAATACGATAAATACAAAGTACTGTGCAAATGGAAGTTTTTAACAATTTTCAGGCTTGGGAATGTACCCTTATCTTTTAACTTGAGTGTCAACAGGAAGGAGAAATTACCAGGTCAAGATTTTTGAAGTAGAACAAAAAATGTAATCCTTAAGTGAAAATAACTGTTGACATATTTACAAACATTAGAGTGCTGTTAGGCACAAAATAACACATTAAATTGTATCTGCGTCATGAGTAATTTATCACAGACAGCTGAAAAATATAAGTACTACGAAAATAATGATTCTCAGGTAACAATTTAAATAAAGAAGTAAGAGACGTAAAGAGAACAGACGTTAAACAGTATACAAGTCAGTCAACCAATGTCCTTGGAAAAAAAAAAAAATCAAAATGAAAGAATGTATGTAATGTTGACTGGCAGCAATTCTTATAAGAAACCTCTTGATTTGCAACAAAAACGCATATTCTTTTAATTATCTACACTCTAACATTATGTTGGAACCTTCATACTGTCTATGCAAACTTGATATTTCCTCATTATTTATCTGAGTAGTGTATAACACTTCTTTGATGTTTATTTGTAAAATGACAAATTTCATATATAAAGGCTAAAACAGGTCAGGAAATTGGCTGAAATTCAAACAAAAATTACTTTGGAAACTTTTCACAAAAAGGAAACGGAATCAGCCAGACAATCCAAATTGTTCCAATGATACCTAGAAAAAAAAAAAGAAAATTAGAACTTCATGTCTGGATGTTGACATCTTGAAGCTGCATTTCCAATTTCATGAGTTAATTGTATCAGTCACCATTTTATTTTATTGCCTTCCTTTGATTTAATATGGAAACTGATATTTTAATGAGCCTATCAAGAATCATTAAAAACAGGTCATACAAGAAAAAATACTGCCAATATGAACTTCCTAAAAATAATTGACGATATAATTGCAAAGTAAAATAAGTTTTCCTCATTTCGAAACAAAATTTTTAGGATTTAATCTTTTTTTAGGGCCACTGCTTCTTAAACTTGAAAATTTCTAATGGGAGTCTCATCTTCTTCTTGTCTTCTGAGTCAAAAATACATTTTGCAGAAAAACGGTAGAAAGTTAACAAAAATTAGAGGCTAATATCACCTTCCAATTAAGAGACGATTCAGGTCCAAGTTAAAAACCGATCATTTTTTTAAGAGTTTAATTAGATCAGTTTCAATAGTTGCAAACTAGGCAGTTAATGAGTTTAAAATGTTTGAAAATAAATGCAAGTACTTCCTACGTAAAATAACAGGTTTTAGGTGTACCTAATTTTGAAGGGCCGAAGGGTTGAGAAAAATAAACATACCCTTCCTTGATGTCCAAATGAGATGTCATGGCAGCCTACGATTTGAATTGAAATTTTTGCTACTTTTCGCAAAACCCATTAAAAAAAATAAAATATTGGCACCCAGAGATTATAGATTTAAGGGAAGAGGTTTTCATTGGAACCTTTCAAATAGATAGTCTATTACAGAGATTTTTTTCCTGAAATGAGATTATATGATTTTTTTTAATTCCTTCAAAACAGTTTCGAAAAAAATACATTTAATAATAATAATAATAACCTCAGGGGCGACCTCAATGTCGTACGGGAGGCCCTTTCGAGGGCTGGCGACCCCGCGGTACCCGAGCAAGTGGCTGGGCATCCTCGTGGCCAAAACATCGCCAGGGGCGTCCGAGGAAGTAGAGTTGTGCTTGTCCCAACTTGAAAAACCAGCTGCGCATCCCTGGTTGGGGGTTTGCAGCCCCCAGTCAGTGATCTTCTTGCACAAGACGATAAAAGAAGAGCCTCGGTCGCGTCAAGGGTTGGGGAACATGGCGCGCATAATAGTCCCCTCGCTGGGATCGAAGATGGTCGTGGATCGTCCCAGTGTATGGCACGACGGCCAACCAACAATACCAACCCTGCT